GAAATATATTTTATTGTAAAAATGCTGCTTGTTCCTAAGGAATAAATCATCATATTATTTTTATATTTCTACCTACCTTAGTCAATTTCCGACCGCATAAGCTTGAATTCCAAAAATGTTTTAACTTTTTAAGAACTGTAAAACTATGTATTGTTATTTATTATAAAACTTTTTTGGTTGCTCTTAGAAATACAAAATATTTAGTGGTTATGTACACCACGATATACGAAAAATATTATTATATTGGTATTAAAATTATTTAAAATATTACACAATATTTTATATTTAGGTGGCTAGGTATCATCTTAATAATATGAGGTGCATAATAAAAATTGAAATATAATGATAACGAATCGAAGGGAAATGTTTCAMAATTATTACTGTTATAAGTTTATTTATACAAGATACATTATATTACAGTTGAAAATATTGTATTTCTACGAATTTCTATGAATTTATTAATATCTTTGAAAGAATTTGATGTCACATCATAATTATATATTATGTTATTATTATTACTATTATTGAGTTAAGAATTACTGAAAAATACTTAAACAGTATAGTTTAGTAGGTGTCTATTTATTATTTAGAATATACATACAAATAATATTATAGTTAATAAATAATATTTTATATCCCTATTTGTCAATTTTTTTTTATTAAATAAAGCATTAGCCATCAAATACCTAGGCATTTTACATATATGGGGCTATTAGGAAAAAAAATAACGTGATAATAAAATATTATTCAAATTATAAGTTACTGTGCAACATGGAAAACAATGTTACTCGTTAATTTAGATGTTATTTTTACAATTCGTTACGCAACTTAGGCAAACGCAAACTTCATTAAACCTAACAGGACGCTAYATCCGCATGTGTTGTCTTCGTTTTACAAGTGCGTAACATACCAAATTTTACGCTCAGTAGATCACATTTAGCTCCATCAGTTTAAAATTTAGTGTGAATTGTCCTTTCATAAAAATTAAAGGTAACATTATTTTCGAGAGCTTCTCATAGGATTTTTTATTAAATTTTAATTTTAAAGCGAGTTATGTGTATTTTAAAATTGTAAATTGTTTGTATATCTTAAAACACTC